CGCGGCGCGACAGTCGCTGGCGCGCCAGACTCGAACGCGCAGCGCAGACGCGACACCGAGCGGTGCGCTCAGGGCCGCGCGGCAGAGTCTCTGGATACAGTGCGCTCGGCAAAGCGCGGGGGGCGCGAACGCAACTCTCAGTCCCATGGCGACCGACCGCGACGCCGAGCAGCGCGCCGCCACGCTGCGCGACATTAAGCAGCACTCTCACGAGGATAATTCCAATTGGAGGCGCCCGGCGACTGCGTCGTCGGCGCCTGCCCCGCGGCAGAGCGCGCGCGCCAGGAAGCGAAGACGCAGGGGGGTACGTGCCATAAGCACGGAAGCAGGTGGTAGAGGGCCAACGCGACGACTGCGGCACCGACCTGGCGGGTTTGGCCCTGCATCTCCTCGGCTTCCCAGCCGCTGGCGAGCCATGTCGCGCCAGCGAGTGCGACGCAGACGACGTCCGCGGCGACCTCGCCTCTCGGAGGAGACGACGAGGGCGGATGGCCCACGGCGGGCGTTCCCTTGTTCAGCGCCGGGCAGAAGCAACTTTGTTTCGGGCGCCGGAGTGGGGGGGCTGGGGATTTGAACAGGCGCGCGGCGCAAGTCTAGGATTTTTGCAGAAGTGGCGCATCGAATGTCGCGGTTGCGACTGCGCTGGCCAGATGCGGCGGCGCGCGGCGCGTGGTCCTTGGTCGCGGCGCTTGTTGCGGCGCGGGGATGGGGGCGCCCGCTGCGGGGGGCGCAGCGTCGTGCTCGGCGGGTGGCGCGGCGCCGAGAGGTCGTGGCCGAGGGCGGCGGGGCAGCGCGGCTTCTTCCCAATGATGCGATGCTGGACGAAAGGCGATGCGCGAGTGGCTGCGGGGGCGCCGTGCACCGGCGGGCCCAGCGAGAGGCTGTTTCGGTTTTCGTGAGTTCCATGCGGTTTTTGATGTTTTTTTTTGTTTTCCTTTTCCTTCCAGCGACGTTTATTCATTGTTGGTTTAATGTGTTCAGTCGTGATTACATGTGCAATTTCCGCTGCGTGTGTCCATGTTGTTTTCTGGGGAGACGAGAGCGCCATCGTGGCCCGCTGGCGACGCGCCCTGCGGTTGCGATGGTCCCTTGAGTCCTCTTGCGTATGATGCGAGGGAAGATGCCGCGCGGTTTTGCCCTGGCCGAAATTTCCCAACGCCGCAATCTCCAGCGCAACTCGCAACTCCGCGCCGCAGTGCGCGCCCGTGCCCTTTTCCCGCATCTGTCATCATATCCAGGGGGTAGTCGTCTGCCGTAGAATCGGGCTCGCGCCGCGCGCTGATGCACTTGGTCAGAGACGATGCTACCGCAACATTCGATGCGCCATTTCCGCGCCCATCGAAACTTTGCGCCTCGCGCCCATTCGAGCCCTCGCCCCCCCACTCCAGCGCCCGGAACAATTCTGTCGATGCCAGGTCCCGAAGAGTGTAACGCGCGCCCGTGGGCCGTCCACCCTCATCGTCTTCTCCGAACCTATTTGCCAACTTGGTGGTTCCGTGGCTCGTCGGCCCCAGCAGATCGCCATCTGGCGAGTGCTCAAACCTCGCAGCCCACCGAGTTCGACGACGTTCACCACTTCCTCACCTACTTCACCTCCATCGATCACGGCACCGACATCTTGGAGATTTGCGGCGGGTAGGCGCGAGCCAGCAGACTCGCTGTCTGTCCGCCGCCGCCCCAGGGCAGGCGCCAACTTTGACCTGGTCACGGGCCGCGGCCTCGCCGGCGAGAGCCAGCAGAGAGCCGTGGGGAGATGCATCCGACAAGACCGCCCCGACATCAGGGGAAGTCGAGTTTCTTTGAATTGCGAGAGGTCGCTTGGTGATGTTCTGGGACTTGCAAGCTCGCGGGGCGGGATTCGCCAGGGGGCGGGACTTGGCCCCGAATTATTTCTTACAGACCGGACTTGGAAAATCCTCATTTGGTGACTCAATATTAATAAGCTCCCAGGGCGCGGCCAAGTCCCGCCCCGCCCCGACGGCGCGTCTTCGCCAGGAGTCCAAGGGGGGGCGGGGGGAGTGATCGCCATCATGATCATCCTCGTCTCGATCATGGCCGCCATCATGCCAGCAATCGTCGTTGCCATGGTCCTCCCGAATGTGATTGCCATGGGCGCGATGGAGACGGCCGCCGCTGACCTCGAGCACTATATCACCATGGCCGCAGCGCCGAGCACATGCAAGCATCACCAGACGCGCGCAGAGACCACCTGCCTTACGCGACGCGCATCTGAACGATTCAAGGAACTTTACTTCCACCACAGAAGTGGCCATCATGGCCCCCGCGTGCCGGCCATTCGGTCGTTTGGCTACGTCTGAGTATAGATGCAACTATACACCTGGCTGCGCTACTATGAGGGCGCGGTCGCGCGCGGTCGATTCTGTGGCAGCGTGGCACAACTACAGCTGCAACTCGGCGGCTATTTCGTCAACGAGCAGCCCGACCCCTCGCGGCCGTGCGACAAGCCGCCCTGGCCACAGGTGCTGGAAGCACCAGGCGTGCACGAGGTCATCTTCGACCAATGCCGACTCGGGCTGCGAGATCATCGCGGGGGTATTCTGACAAAGACCACCGGCCTGGTCTCCAGCGCCCCCGAGATCCGCAAACAGTTCACGCACCTCAGGTGCACCAGCAGGCACGCCCACGTGCACGTCGAGGGTCGCTGCGGCATCGACGCCCCGGTCTGGCCATGGAGGACGGCCGAGCGGCCTGTCCAGGGCATCGTGGACCTACGCCGCCGCATGAGACGCTCGAGCGTGAACAATGTCCATGAATGCGACGTCGAAATGACAGCCGCCCCAGCAGATGCCTCCGGGGCCACAGAGGGCGAAATCATGAGCGCGATGGCCGCCGAGCGCGCGCGTTACTCCTGCAAGGCGCGCGTGCGCACCGTCCGCGCAGACTCGCCCATGCGCTCCAGAGATCCCGGCGCGCGTCGGCGCCCTCGCAGCGCCCCAATGCACTCACCGGGAATGCCCCGGCTGCTGCAAGGAGAAGGAGCGCGACCACCCTGCGTGCTTGCGCGAGTTCAGCAAGTTCAGCTCGCTGCGCCGACGCGCTGGCCGGCGCCCGCGAGCCTCAGCACGGCCGGGAGGACCGCGCCACTCCAGCGATCAGCAAGCTTAACTACCCGGCGGAGCCGACCAAGGAACAGTAGACGAAGCCGCACTGCCGCTGGCGCCCGCATGTACACCGGGAGCCAGCACTTTATCGTCTATCGCTGGGGCTCGGGGTAGCAGCTCCAGGGACTGCGTCGCTGGGCCACTGAGTTTGGCATTGGGCGGCTGCTTTGCCGGGCCAGGGCTTCGAGCCAGCCGGGTGGCAGGGGCAGCGCCGAGGCGAACGGCGCGACGAGCTGCCGGCGCAGCGGTTGGAAACCCGACTCCCTCCGAATGGATTTTCATTGACATCGCCGCGTCGTTGCAAGCGCTGCGCGGCGTTTCGCACCCGACGCGCGTGCGGGGGCCATGCAAGCTACACTTTTGGTAGTGGCGCGCCACTGGGGAGGAAATGGCTCGAGCTCTACGAGCGGCACACATGCCGCAATCAATCTTCGACCTCGTCCCACAGTGGCCAACTATCGCAAGGAATGTTGTGCATGGCTACTACCAGCAGCACATCAGACTACTCGTCACACGTCGCCTTTAGACACGATTAAACCAGCGCGTCGAAAGCGACGCCTCGTGCTGCGAGGATCTCATGAGTTTGTGTTTTATCCGTCGCGCATTGCGGAGACGCGCGGTGGCGGAACGACCAGGAGACCACGGGCAAGCGCGACTCGACGGTTCTCATGGCCATCGACAGTGCATGGATCCAGCTGTTCGGTGCGACGGCGCCGTTCCTTCTAGATTCTAGACAGCTACGACTACAGCGCGATCGAGCTGAGCGCGGACAAGTTTCAGAAACCTGCGCCAAGCTCGCAAGACAGTGATCTCACCATCGAGGAGAATGGCGACTCGAATGATTGACTCACCAGGCGCCCGCGCATCCCAGACTACGCTGGCGAATGCGACGCCCGACTGTGTCGCATTGTGTTCGCACTCTTGTGCAAACGCACTCGGTGGGCACATTCATGCAAACGCATTGGTGGGCACTTTTAGGCAAGCTCATTGGGTGGACACTTGTATACAACGCATTGCGTGGGCACTTTCTCATGCGAACGCATTGGGGGGGACACTTTCTTGCACGTGCGTTGTGTGGGCACTATCTTTGCAAACACTCTGGGTATATTATTTTATGCATAGGCACTCGTCTTATGCAAGCGCACTGGGTGGACAATGCTTATGGACACGTTGTGGGTGGACACGTTCATGCAAACCCTGGGCTGGGCAAGACGTCGTACGTCATCTTGATTTAACACGTGGCTGTCAAAGTGCATCCCAAGGCCCAGGGCATCCGACGACAACGCGCCAGAGGAACATATCGCCGAACTTTGCGGGCGATCAGGACAGGGAGGAAACAAGTGATAGAGCATTCGAGTGAGAGGCTTGCTGCTGCCGCGGAGTGACGTAGCGGAGTGGTAGACGTGGTGTCAGTTGAGAATGTTAAGTGAGTGCTGGTCCCATCAACTATGCTGATGGAGTGGCAGATCCCCTGAAGGTTTCGTCCCATACGATCGGCCAACGTTTGCTAACGATTTATGGAAAAAAGGGTGGTTTGTACAACCTCTTGCTCTGCGTTTGTGCTTGCTGGGAGCTGTTTAGGACCACCGTTCTGTTGTGTTTCGGGGTTGTTCTGGGTGGCTTGCGCTTGGGATGTCATTGAGGCACGACGGATTCGTTTGAGCACCAGACTCGAAAAGGGGAGGTTACTATGCTTTGCTCGGTGCAGGAAAGGCTTCCTGCTTCCATTTTCGCTCGACGCTCCGCGCCCGCCTTATTCGCGCTCTTACGAACCGCATCGTTCCGAGTACTGAAAAGCACCACATGCCACCTCGATCCTGTATTCAGTCTCGCCATCGCCCCCCACGCCGCGGCGAGGCCGGCCTGGGCGGCACCCGCATGCTGGAGCCGGGCGCCCCAGCACGCCGGCGTTGCCCGTGGTTCCTAGTTGCAAGAAATGTTACGACGACGACGACGACGACGACGACGAGGGTGACGACCGACGACGACGACGACGACGACGACGACGACGACGACGATGACGACGACGACGACGACGACGGGCGTTGCTTTTCTTTCACAGAGATCGTTTTCGCCCGTTTTCGGGCCCCGGGACCCTCACGTGTCGATCCGGCTCGAACAGTGGCGCAGATGATGGGGTCCGGGGCTCCGGTCGTGATTTTGCGCGATGCTGCAACTTTTCGCGTCGTCGGTTTTCAGGGTACTTACAGAAAAGTTTCCCGATACCGTTGGCCTTCCTTGGGTTTCGCCCTTTTGGGCCAATTGGGAGGCCCTCGTCGCCACGGCCACATTCGCCTCGAGATCTTGGTCATGAGGCGTCCGTGGAGAGGTCCGGGGAGCTGCGGTGTGGGAACCGTTTGGCTTCCCCAGGCTCGGCGTGGCGCTGCTGGCTGCGAGTCCGCAGCTGTCGAGGGCACTGCCGCGCCTGGGGAGGCCACCGAGGAGGCGCTGCAGCGGCGCTCGCCAGCGGGCCGTGGGCACCGCGGGCGGGGCCGTGCAGGATCACGACGTCCGGAGGTCTGTTGGGCGCGCGGTTGCATACAGTGCCGTGTTGGTAGTCGTGTACGTCTGGAACGACATCTCGGTCTACCTCGTGGGCGACCACGCCTCCAGGGGCCACGAGGAGCAGACCGCGCTGTTCATGAGCGCCGCCGCCTCCATCGGTCTTGGGCTGGTAGTCTCGTTCATCCGGCGTGGTCGGCGGGGCGTGCGGGACTCCGTCGACCCCGGCAGCATTTTGAAGCTGTTGCCAGTCTCTGCGTCCTTTGCGATCTCACTCTTGGGCCTGCTCAAGTCTTTCCCGCACTTCGACGGCGCTTTCATCAAGCTTGTGGGCCAGATAAAGCTGCCCATCACCGCGATCCTCTCCGCCATTGTGCTCGGCAGGCGGTACACTCTGGTACAATGGCAGGTGATCATCTGCATCTGCATCGCGTGCTGCTCATTTACGGCCCTCAGGCTTGACAGTAGGATCGCGGTTGCCTCTGTGCCCTGCGTGGGCCTCTTGTGGGTCTTCACCTGGGTCGTCTTCAACGCCCTCGCAACGCTCTTCGCGGAGTGGGCGTTCAAGCAGAAGGATGCCATGCCATTCGAGTCGATCATGACGCACCTGGGTGTTGGGAAGATGCTGACCGTAGTCTTGAGCCTCACGCTGGATTCCAGGTTCCAGTTGGGCCAGTTCTTTGGCGGCTGGGACTGGAGCACGGCGGCGATCGTGTGCACGCTCGTGGGCGACGCCTGGCTCTCTGGACTCATGGTCAGCCGACTGTCCTCGGTCACGAAGAACGTCTGCAAGTGCTGCACGGTGGTGGTTCTCTACTGCGTGGCCCTCGCCACGGGCAGGCAGTCGCCGGTCCTGTCGCAGGTCCTGGGGGCACTCATGATCGTGGTGCTCACGGCCACGTTCGCGACGCTCTCCCTGCAGCAGGGGCCGCGCCAGGCGGCCCCCGCGGCGAGCTCCGGCGGCGACGGCGCAGGGTGAGCCCGCCGGCGTGCCCCCATGGGCCCCCCCGCCGACGTCGCACGGGGGGGGAGTAGTCGCATCGGTTCGGGGAGAACCGCGCTCCTCCCGCGGGGCGAAAAGGCGGAGGAGGAGGAGGAGGAGGAGGAGGAGGAGGAGGAGGAGAAGGAGGGGGAGGAGGAGGAGGAGGAGGAGGAGGGAGGAGGAGGAGGAGGAGGAGAGGAGGAGGAGGGAGAGGAGGAGGAGGAGGAGGAGGAGGGAGGAGGAAACGAGGAGGAGGAGAGGAGGGAGGAGGAAGGAGGAGGAGGAGGAGGAGGAGGAGGAGGAAGTGGTGGCCCCGGGCCACCGGAGCGACCTATAGGCTGCCAAGGTTGTCAAGGGGTGGAGACCCTGGAGCGACCTGGACTGCCAAGGGAGGGGGAAGGCTGCCTTTCCCGAGGCCATGGCGCCGCTCCCGTGTGCCCTCGCAGGCTGGAGGAGGGCTTCTCGCCTCGGAGGGAAAAGAGCTGCATGAAGGTACACTTTGGGAGAGCCGCGCCGACTTCCGAACGTTTCTGTTTATGCTGGAGGAGGGGAGGAGGAGGGGGAGGAGGAGGAGGAGGGGGAGGAGGAGGAGGAGGAGGAGGAGGAGGAGGAGGAGGACGCAAACCGAAGACACAGCAACGATGTTGCAATAAGCCCTCCCTCCAGGATCCCTCGTCACAATGTCTCTTCATTGCAGGTCATGCCCCTCTGGAAGACAACTTTCTGAGAATCCTCAATCACGCCAAAACGCCATTTCTGGAGCTGCAGCGTCGCGAATCAAAACGACAACTGCGTCCTGACATTCCTAGCTCGTGACAGATCACTATCCTCCTAGGGACTTCAACACCACGGATCCACGAAGTGTAATGCTCTAAAAAAGATGGTCCCTGGGTATGGAACAGGGGGGGCGACGACAACGGCGTCGTGCTCGTCGTCGTCACTGGCGTCGGTGTCGGCGTCGTCGTCATCGACTTCGGCGTCGGCGTCGGTGTCGGCGTCGGCGTCAGCGTCGTGCTCGGCGTCGTTGTCGGTATCGTCGTCGTCGCCGGCGGCGTCGGCGTTGGCGTCGGCGTCGTCGTCGTCGTCGACGTCGTCGTCGGCGTCGGCGGCATCGTGTTCGGCGTCCTGCTCGGCGTCGTGCTCGGTGTCGGCGCCGGGCGTTGTCGTCGGCTTCGTTGTCGGTGTCGTGCTCGGCGTCGTGCTGGGCGTCGTGCTCGGCGTCGAGGTTGCTGGCGTCGGTGTTGTTCTCGGCGTCATGCTCGGCGTCATGCTCGGCATCGTCGTCGTCGTCGTTGTTGTCGTCGGCGACGTCGGCATTGGCGTCGGAGTCGTTGTCGACGTCGTCGTCGTTGTCGACGTCGGCGTCGGCGTCCGCGTGGTGCTCGTCGTCGGTGTCGGCGTCGTTCTTGTAGTCGCCGGCGTCGTCGTCGGCCTCGTCGTCGTCGTCGTCGTGCTCGGTGTCGGCGTCACGCTCGGCGTCGTTCTCGGCGTCATGCTCTTCGTCTGCATCGGCGCCGGCATTGGCGTCGTTGTCGGCGTCGTCGGCGTCGTGCTCGGCGTCGTGCTCGGCGTCGTGCTCGGCGTCGTGCTCAGCGTCGTGCTCAGCGTCGTCGTCATCGTCGCCGGCGTCGGCGTCGGCGTCGGCGTTGTGCTCGGCGTCGTTGTCGGCGTCGGCGTCGGCGTCGTCGTCGGCGGCCTCGGCGTCGGCGTCGTCGTCGTCGACGTTGGCGTCGGCGTCGTGCTCGACGTCGTGCTATGCGTCGTGCTCGTCGTCGTCGTCGTCGGCGGTGGCGCCAGCGTCGGCGTAGCTATTGGTGTCGGCGTCGTCTGCGTCGTGCTCTGCGTCGTGCTATGCGTCGTGCTCGGTTTCGTCGTCGTCGTCGTCGTCGTTGCTGGCGTCGTGCTCGGCGTCAGCGTCGTGCTTGGCGTCGTTGTCGGCGTCGGCGTCGTCGTGGTCGGGAGCATCAGCGTCGGCGTCGTCATTCTTGTCGACGTTGGCGTCGGCGTCGTGCTCGGCGTCGACGTCGTCGTCGATGTCGGCGTTGTTGTCGGCGTCGTGCTCGGCATCGTGCTTGTCGTCGTGCTCGGCGTCGTCGTGCTCGGCGTCCTCGTCGCCGGCGTCGGCGTCGTCGTCATGCTCGGCGTCGTGCTCGGCGTCGTTCTCGGCGTCGTGCTCGGCGCTCGGCGTCGTGCTCGGCGTCGTGCTCTTCGTCGGCGTCGGCGTACTTCTAAGTCGGCGTCGTCGGTATCGGCGTCGGGGTGGGCATTGGCGCCTGCGTCGGCGTCGTTGTCGGCGTCCTGCTCGGCGTCGTGCTCGGTGTCGGCGTCGGCGTCGTCGTCGTCGGCGTCGGTATCGGCGTAGGCGACGGCGCCAGCATCGGAGTCATTGTCGGCGTCGTGCTCGGCGTCGTGCTCGGCGTCGTGCTCGGCGTCGTGCTCGGCGTCGTGCTCGGCGTCGTCGTCGTGGTCGTCGGCTTCGGCGTCGGCATCGGCGTCGGCGTCCTTCTTAGTCGGCGTCGTCGGCAGCGGCGTCGGGGTGGGCATTGGCGCCTGCGTCGGCGTCGTTGTCGGCGTCCTGCTCGGCGTCGTGCTTGGCGTTGGCGTCGTCGTCGTCGTCGTCGGCGTCGGTAGCGGCGTAGGCGACGCCACCAGCGTCGGAGTCGTTATCGGCGTCGTGCTCGGCGTCGTACTGGGCGTCGTGCTCGGCGTCGTGCTCGGCGTCGTGCCTGGCGTCGTCGTCGTCGTGCTCGGCGTCGGCGTCGGCGTCGGCGCCGGCGTCGTCAGCAGTGTGCTCAGCATCGTGCTCGGCGTCGTCGTCGTCGTTGTTGGCGTCGGCGTCGGCGTCGGCATCGTCTTCGGCGTCGTCGGCGCGTCGGCGTCGTCGTTGCTGTCTTTGCCGTCGGCGCCGCCGCTGTCGTCATCGTCGGCGTCGTCGTCGTCATCGTCGTCGCAGCCGCCCACCGGTTCCGAGGAGGGGGTCTCCCTCCCCCCGCAGGTTCGACCCCGGGAGGGGTGAGTTTACCCCCTTTGCCCGGGTTTCCATGGGAGGGGGGGGCTTTTTTTGCCAAGCAGGCGCCCACGAAACGCGCTCCTTCCGATCGCGCAGTCATCAATCTTGCCAGAACGCGATTTCTGGGACTTCGACCAGATTTGCGAATACTTGAAAGAATGTGCGCGGTGCTGAGGCGAGAGCCACATCTTGAAACCAACCGCCCTGCTCGGGTCGTCGGAGGTCGCGAAGGCCCACCCAAGACGCAGCCAGGGCGAGGACAAGATCGGGCGAGGACAGATCGGGACGCTCTGAGATCTGGCGGCTCTGGAGGCTGTCTGGGGCGCCGCGGCCTTCTCAGAGCGCTCCGAAGCGCTCTGAGAGCGTTGCGCAACGCTCTGGAACGGATTTGTCCTCGTCGGCGTCGTCGTCGTCGTCCTCGTCGTCCTCGTCCTCGTCCTCGTCCTCGTCCTCGTCGTCGTCGTCGTCGACTTCCTCGTCGTCGTCGTCGTCCTCGTCCTCGTCCTCGTCCTCGTCCTCGTCGTCGTCGACTTCCTCCTCCTCGTCGTCGTCGTCGTCGTCGTCGTCGTCGACTTCCTCATCGTCGTCGTCGTCGTCGTCGTCGACGTCGTCGTCGTCGTCGTCGTCGTCGTCGTCGTCGACTTCCTCATCGTCGTCGTCGTCGTCGTCGTCGTCGTCGTCGTCGTCGTCGTCGTCGTCGTCGTCGTTCTGGCCCCGTCTGGCCCACGGTCGGGAGGGCGAAGAGGCAAGGCGGATGGGGCGGCCCGCCGACGGGGCGCGGTCGTGGCAGCCCTGGAGACCGGGCCTCTTTGCCTGCGGGGGCGGGCCAGGAGGAGGAGGAGGAGGAGGGGCAGGAGGAGGAGGAGGAGGAGGAGGAGGAGGAAAACGAGGAGGAGGAGGAGGAAAACGAGGAGGAGGAGGAGGAGGAGGCGAGGAGGAGGAGGAGGAGGAGGAGGAGGAGAGGAGGAGAGGGAGAGGGAGAGGGAGATGGAGAGGGAGGGCGCGGAGGAGGCGGAGGAGGAGGCGGAGGAGGCGGAGGAGGAGGAGGAGGAGGAAGAGGAGGAGGAGAAGAGGGAGGTGCAGCTTGGGTTAGCTGTTGCCCTCCTTGCCCGGCTCTCCCCTCCCTCCATCTTCAGACATCTAATGCCATGAGTTTCTCAACATGGGGTGCCCGGTCCCTGTGGCGTCTGGACCTCTTCCCCGTGGACGGCTCCTCAACCCATGCAGTTGCTTGACGGCTGGGGCCCAGCGAGAGCCCCCAGAGGAGGAGGAGGAGGAGGAGGAGGAGGAGGAGGAGGAGGAGGAGGAGGAGGAGGAGACAGGAAAACCTCGTCTTGAGCTTCTCGAGACGATGGAGGCCTGGACCCTGCCCTGCGGCGAACTCCCCCTCCCCTCCTCGCCAGCTCTGCAGTGGGCCCAGTGCCCTCTGGCTCGGCATCGCTCGGACGCGTGTGTCCTTTCCAGCGCGGCCCCGCGCCAGAAAGGACCGACCATCCCGAGAAACAAACACGCACGTTACACGTTGTTCGTTTCCAATTCTTCAAAAATGCTTTGATTTTGTTTGGGGGCCAAGATCCTTCCATTTCCAATTGTGCTGTCCTGGGCCTCTTCCTGGCCGCTAGGGGGCCAGGAACAGTTAGAAACGAGCACAATGAGAAATGAGCACGATTAGAACTTAACGACGCATACTCCCGATTCCATCATGAAGTGGGGGAGGGCTAGTTTGGGGGGGTCTGATTGGAGCGATGCCTTGGAGGGTTGCCGGGGGCCTGGGGAAAAGGCCGCCCTTTCACGGCTGGTCTCTGGGGGGGGTCCAAAACATTGATCGTCCGGGGAGGGCTGCGACCCCTTTCCCTTTTGGGGCGACCTTCGGAGTAGCCCAACAGCGACCGGGGAGCGGACGGCCGAGCGATGGCAGTCTGGCGGCAGATGGGGCCCCCTTCTGCGGGCAGGGCCTCCCCCAGCGCATGGCGCCTCATGTTTTAGG